AACAGCCACGTTTTTTGTTCAATGGGTATCAGTTATATAAGACGAAATGCGTATCCTAGATTTCACTACTGATTATCACCAACAACCAAAAGAAAATGTGAATCTTCAAACATAATCGAGGCATTTATGGTAGGAGCCGATATGTCAGCATAATCAGTCAATCAACGAGAAATGCAAACCGACCTAAAAACAAATAATAAACTTTCAAGTGTTGGTTTGTAGGGATTTGATTGGTTACAGGATTTCATTATGAGGTGACATTAGTTAGAGAACCATTGGAAAACCAGCACTGGGAGTACTGGACAGCTGTTTCATCCTAGTTTGGACTCTTCAGCAGTACGCACCCACTGGGATTCGAACCCATGACCTTCTGGTTTCGAAGGTGAGCTTGTATACCAGTGCCTTAATGGTATACGAGCTCACCTTGTAACCGGAAGGTCATGGGTTCGAATCCTGGTGGGTGCGTACTGATGAAGAGTCCCAAACTAGGACGAAACAGCTGTCCAATACTCCCAGGTTTTCCGATGGTTCTCTAACTAATGTCATTTCATGATGAAATCCTGCAAATAATAAACTTAACTATAACTGAAGTAATGTAAAACTACGTTATGCATATATCTACCTCGATTGAACAATAGGCAGTAACTAACTAGTGTCATGCGTGTAGTCCTTTGATTAGTAAAGACCGAATTCTATCAGTCAGGTATGCAATATGCCCACCAAACTAGGTGACTCACCATCCTTGTGCACATTGATTTGATGATATTAGATGGTTGGAACAGTTGGTAGGAAGTCTTGGATTTCAGTCTGCACCAGCCCGAGGACTAGACGTATGACATTAGTTAATTACTACCTAGTATTAAATCAAAGAATCCAATACAGTCCTACAGGAAGTCAATCGCGAGTCTGAGTAGATCAGCAGCAAAATCTCTGACTGCAGCACTAACTGGCACGGATTCGAACAGCCGAAGGGACATATGTTCCCTCGAGATTTTTAAATACACCTTGCTGATGAGTACCAACAAGCACGGAACAGAGGTCGAAGGCTTCCTACCTATTGCCTCCAACCATTCAGTATATATGTACGTATAATATCAATTTATATTTGTCCGTTTTTTGACTAAGCTGTTCATCAAAGATTATTAATTAAGGGTGAGGCTGAAAAGTTGCGTACATAAGTCAAGAAGTGGTGCATAAGAAAATAAATTATTTAGAATTCATGCCTCTCCGAGCTCAGGAGAGAGATTTATGGATTATTCGAAATAACAAAACTAAATCGTACTATCATAAAAAGGGGCCACTATGAATATAATCAGAAGATTAAGTTAAATTTGGACATCGTATACAGATTTAAGCCACAACTATTGTAATACGAAAAGGCCTGATAATAGGCGAGCTATCGGGGCTCTAATGAAAACAAAAACACTAGTTCAGCGAACAGGTACTTCTCGGCAAATTCCCTTTCTTTAGCTGTACAGTCGCATTTGTGCGTCGGTGGCATAGCGGTTAGGACGCTCGCCGACCATGCTCTTGGTCCGGGGTTCGATCCCCGGCCGACGCACTCCTTCACGTTGCTAAGCCAGAAATAATGCTGGTGAAGAGGAAAGGTTGGGCATGAGGCTAGCAACCCCATCCTGTAAAATAAACACTGCTAAAGAAACTTCAAGCCACTAGCTTGAAGCCCTGTGTTCCACTGGGGAACGTGAAGGAAAAAAAACAGTCGCACTTATATAAAATTTCTTCCGTGAAAGAAGGTGGTCACAAAAGTGACGACTTGTCATAATCATAGCTGGTGTATTGCTCAACGCATAAATGCAGCTGAATAAGTATATTAGAGTTGCGTAATAACAAGAATAAATTAATGAGTGAGTTGTCATCAGGATGCACATAGAAACGAGAATGGAAATATTGAATTATGTAAGAGTTTTAGAGAGTTATAAACTAGAGAAACAAAACCAAGTTAGTAGAAATCAATAAAGTTGTTACGATGGCAGTAGACGTGGTTGAATAAGCCTCGTGACCAATAGGGTGCAGCAAGTCGGGTGTGAGGACAAATACTCGCCGAAGACACTGGCTAGCCGTTGCGCTATATCGTGAATTGGTAGAATTCATGGATTGGCCATTGGATCGGGTCCCAGTGGCTTAATGGTCTACGAGCTCGCCTTGTAACCAGAAGGTCCTGGGTTCGAACCCCGATGGGTGCGTACTGCTGAACAGTCCCAGACTAGGACGAAACAGCTGTCCAGTACTCCCAGGTTTCCCAATGGTTCTCTAACCAATGTCAGGTCATGATGAAATCCTGTAACCAATCAACCAAATCCCTACAAACCAATACTTGAATCTTCTTTTGTACGCATAACTCCTGTTTATCTATCACAATGGCCAGAGCTTCAGCGGTGTAAGGAGGACGAAAGCGTATTGCCTTTGACAGGTTGTGGTTCACTTTGTAGATTACTTTGAGGGAGGCATTTTTGAGATGGAATCACAAGTGCTGATAAGGTGTTCGATTATTAAACTCATTGTAGAGCCACTGTTACCTTTTTGCAACCATGTGATGTTAGATGAAATACCAGTTAAACGATCAATAAACCTGGCTCCACAACAACAGGTGGACTGATATATATGCACACAGAAGTGGTCAGATACGAGATCTTGTCCTAAAGACTTTCACGGATCAATTAACGACTGGAGAAAACTATTTTCAGGGTTGCTGTGAGCAATGTTCTTCTCAAAGAAAATGAAATTCTTCTCCCAAGGATATAGCTGGTTAAGTTGGCTTAGAAACGAAGGTCCATGTAGAGTTTCGTTTGTGGTGAAAGTAATGTTTCCTTTCTTTCAACTTTTGGTTTGATATTCTTGTCAATGAATCACGGTGGGTATCCAATTTGGATGAAGATTTCTTTCATAGAGTTTAACTCTGCTTCTAGAGCATCAGGACTACGAATGTGTTGGACTCGAATAGTTAGGGATTTCATTATATTTCTCTTTCGTTCAACAGGAACCCAACTGTATAAACTCGTCAGCTGAGTGTTCTGACTGGGTTTCCTATGGACTTATTTTCTTAAGGTTACGTTACGTCTTCTTATTACGTAACTGTGACACACTTATTCAACTTCACTTGCGCATTAACTAAGATTATTAAATATCCAGCACTTTTGTTACAACCCTCTTTTGTGGTAAAAATTGTATATAGATGCGACTGTACAGGTACAGCATATGAATTCACCGAAAAGACCGTCTTCACTGAACTAAGTGTTTTGTTTTCACTCATTATAACCCAACTTATCAGCAGTGTACTCAATTCAACTGTGCTTGAATAGCTGAATAGTTCAGATTCATTATCACTTTGACTGCCATTTAACATAACAAGCAGTTCATAAATCGTGATTCGAATATATATCGGGTTCCCTGATGACTGACTGACTGTTTTCAACACAGAACTTTGCACCGATGTGCAGCAGTTCGAGTCGCCACACTTCACTCAGCCCACAAAGCAAGAGAAGAAAGTAAAAAGGAATGCAAAATAGTGGCAGTAAACAGAGATATGAGAAAAAATAATAGTAATAACAAAGAACAATATAGTTTCATTGGGTATTATAAGTCACAAGGAATGGATGCATCTGCGCTAGCCATTTAGAACGATTTTGAGCCATATCACCGATTGTTTCCAGCCATTGGTGTTTACCGTCCCGAGGACCCCAACCAGACAGAAGTCTACACCTTCCCACGTGGCTTAAACTAACTGTTGTAGATTTCATTGACTGATGAAGCCGTGTTTTGGTATGACCACCACTGGCTCTTTTCTAACTTGATCCATCCTGTGTCAGCTAACATTGCCCGTGGATGAAGGAGATGCCTAGGAATACTTAAAACATGTCTTAACCATCTCAGTCGATGTAGCATCTCAGCCTCGTCTATTGATTTTCCCTCCTTACCTAACACTCGACGCCTAGTCTCAATGTTGCTCACCTTATCATACCACTACACACGGGAGGTAGAACGCAGACACCTATGATAAAAGACAGCTAGCCGTTTCATGACTTTCACTTTCAACAGCCACATCTCATAGTCAACTATAAAAGGACGGAGCGGACTGCTGAACAGTACACACTTCCTTTGGTAGATAGCTGGATATCACGTCTACACCAGAGACGGCGTAAACTGGCATATGCGAAACTAGCATTCTGTATCCGTGCTGAGATTTCGTCAGCGATCAACCCGTTAGCACTGGCTGATGCAACTTCCCAAATAAGTGAAGCGGTCAACGTGCTCTACCACTTCAATCCCTATTTCTAAGCTAGGAGTCAATGTGGTCCAGTCCTGTAGCATCATCTTACATTTGGCGGGAGCAAATCGCATGCCGAACATCCTCAGATTGCAGCTCAAGGTGTTCAGAAAACTCTGCATTTTGTCAGCGTCCATATCTAGAAAGACTATATCATCTGAATGTTCTAAGTTCCTGAAGGACAGCATGTTGAATTCTCACTTTAAAATGTGTATTTTACCAATGGCTTTATCATAAATATAACGGTACATGGACCAAAGGATGACACCTATCTACAAATATAACCATCTTTTCACCCAATACACTTAGTCTGATCTCAGTGTACTACTTTTTTTTAAATTCCTTCAAGTTCCCCAGTGGAACATAGGGCTTCAAGCTAGAGGCTTGAAGTTTCTGTAGCAGTGTTTATTTTTACAGGGTGGGGTTGCTATCCTCATGCCCAATCTTTCCTCTTTACCAGCTTTTTATTACTGGCTTACCGAGGTAAAGGAGTGCGTCGGCTGGGGATCGAACCTCAGACTATGTGCAGGGTCGGCGAGCGTCCTAACCGCTGTACCACCGACGCACGTACACTATTCATTCACTTTTATTCCAAAAATTTTGCCCGTCTGAATCAGATTCACTGTATCGAACTAAATATTTATAAGAAATCCAGCTGAGTTATCTGTATGGCAAGTAGATGTATTCCTATTTTCTTCTTTTTTTTTTATCTTACCAGTAGATATTTTTTCACTTTAGGCATTAAACGTATTTTCACATTCGGTCGAGATAGTTGATCATTCCAATCCAGTGGTGGTAAGTCTTCTAGTTCTTCAGAAGAATTTATTGGTTGTAAATATTCAGTTAATTGGGCATCAGTCTTAGAATTTGGTCTGAAATAAATAAAGGCATAAGTAAATACAAAATACAATAGCTGGAAACTATTCACTGTAAAAAAAGTGTAAGACGGAAGAAACATTTAGCAGCTATTTCAGATACTTTGTTTCTAATCTCTATTAACATCCTAATTAACTTAAGGTATTCGACGCTAATACTCGTGAACTTCATCTATGCTTATTCCAACCGAATCATTTAGGACACACATTAAAATATAACATTCTCGGCCTAAGTTTGTTAGCAGTTTCCAGTTATTCATAAGTAAATGGTGCCGGAATTTAACTGAATTATATCCGGTCGACTCTCGCCGACCCTGCACATAGTCCGGGGTTCGATACCCTGCCGACGCACACCTAACATCTGTGATCGGCCTGCAAAATTTGGGCTATCGATATCACAGGCTGAAAATTTCATACTTGTATCAAACATGCTGTGTGGAATCAAGCTATAATAAAAAAATGAATCACAGTGATTATTTGCATTTTACAGCTAAAGAGACCATGTCATATTCTTGACCGATACAACTTTCTAGTTTGCTCAGGGATTAATATCATTTAGAGGACCATTGAAATCCAACAGGGAGTAGTGAATAGCCGTCCCGTAGAAAGTTTATGACTGTTCAGTAGTACGCACCAATGAATACTTAGGGGGTCGACGCAGGACCCTCGTGTTATGAGGCGAGTTCCTTGACCATCTAGCCATTTGGAAGAGATCCAATGGCCGGCCAATGAATTCAGTAGTGCCCACAGGGTTGAGTGTAAAGACAGATATTTTTCGACAAATGTGGCTAGCCACGGAGCTAAAAATAGCTAACTGACAGAAGTTAAAGGGGCTCGTTGACTATTCAACCATTGGATCCCGTCTCATTGGCTGAATGGTCAACAAGCTTACCTTATAACCTGAAGGTCCTGGGTTCGATCCTTTGAGAGGAGGTGGTGGGTATGTACCGATGAAGAGTTACAGACTAGGGTGAAACAGCTTTTCAGTACTTCCTGGTTTTCACTGGTTCTTTAACTGTTAAAAATCCGTGATCAAACTGGGAACCAAACAAATCCCTACAAACTAACAGTTAAAAATACAAATTTGTCATTATGATTGGTTACTTATAAGTGTTTGGGGCGTATCCGAAAGTTTATGGAGGCCCTAGCTGGCAATTAGAAAGTTTGAAACACCTTTATGTGTTCAAAAACAATTTGTCATCACACTAAACCTGCCTTGTTAAACTTTGTTTTGATACCTTAGCAGATGTACTATTATTTCTCTCATTTGGTTTAGTGATCTTCATTGTTATTTTGAACCTTACTGTGTCCTTTTAACTTGGCGTAAATTTATTTTCTCACCTCTTAACTCTTTATTAAGTCGATATATATTCCTATGACAAGTCCATGTGTGTGTTCAGATTGTTAGAAATGTGTTGCACAAATGCACATTACACGATTCAGAGACAAATTACGTCTTTTAATTCTTTGTCTACTCATAAGTAGTTTGTTTAGAAATACTAAATTTGGGTGATGAATTAGTTTGAGGCATTAAGATGAAATGGTTTAGTTATGGTGAAAGGCGAAAAATATTATTTATTTAATCCTTATTGTTACTCATCATTTAGTAAGGCATATCTAACAAAAAACAATTTTCTATGATGAAGTGTAAAAAGTAAGAGGATAGAAGCTGTAAACACTTGCGGATCTTACAATAAATAAAGAACCAGTTATCTGGAAAAGACCATACAAACATTTAATACAGATTGTTGTATTTAGTTTTATCAACAGTTGCTTGTTGTTTAAATAAAGAGAGACTGATTTCATTCTCAATTGCTTTCGGTTGGCGGTGAAAGCAAATCTGATGAATGACCATCTTAAACTTTATAGAGAAAATTTCTTGAATGGCAGCCAACTCTTCCACTGACTAGTTTCAAATTGTTAGAGCAGCCTAGTGTATAACACTTTAGCAATTGAAACGATGTTTCTAAGGTTCGGGTCTCATTGGGAACACCATATATCACTAAAAGTGCAGGTGAGTTCCATTAGCTGACAAGTCACAAACAAGAAGAGATGTGCATTCTGGATTTCACTGCTTCTCACCATCAACCAAAAGATGACGTCTGTTTAAAATGACATTCAGTTGTTTAAATAGTTGGATTAACTGATGAGAAGACTTTGTTGCTGTCGAAAGAGATTTTAGGAGAACTTCAACACTGATATGATGTATTTATTGTTATTATTGTTCCTTTGGGTTCCTAGTGGAACATGGGGCTTCAACTACACGTCTCCACTTGATTCTGTCTTCTGCTGTACTTATCACCTGCGTCCATGTTACTCCATACTGTTTCAATTCCTCATCACACGATCTCCTCCATGTCACCCTTGCACTGACGTCCCACTCGCCGCTTCCCTTTCGGGTTCCACTCGAGCGTTGGCCTGATGCGCGATGTCACCCAGCGGCCTCCTCAGCGAGTGTCCAATCCATCTCCACTTTCTCCTGCATATTTGTTGGGCGATTGGTTCTTGTTTTGTTCGTTGCCATAGCTTCTTGTTTGTGATTCTTTCCGACCATCTAATCTTCAGTATAGAACGAAGGCAGTTGTTGATAAAGGTCTGCAACAGGCTGTTGGAAATATCCGTATAGAAGAACTGACTGACTTGACGTTTGTATTGAGAATCCGAATTTTGTTGTTGATGCAGGCTGAGTGACGAAGATTTCCAGATTGGTTTCAGGTTGATGAATGTGTTTCTCGCCTTCTTGATTTGACATCTTCGTCCGTTCCTCCTGTAGTTGAGACAATGCTCCCTAGATAAGTGAATGAAGTAACCTCTTTCAAATCCCTCCTGTTGATGGTGATTGGCGCTGGATGTTGCTGCTGCTGTTGTTGTTGTTGCTGGTTGGTTATTTTCATAACCTCCGTCTTGTCTATGTTCACCTGCAGTCCTGTCTTCTCTGGCTGCTTCTTCGACCAGTTTGTCGGTCGGTTTTCGCTTGTAGGTCTTCGATTTTGTGTGACATCAAACATAAATCATCGGCGAAATCCAGGTCTTCTAGATTCTTCACGTCGGTCCAGGATATCCCTGTCTTCTTGTTTCCCACTGCCTGACGCATAATCCAGTCCACCACAATTAGGAATATCATTGGTGATAGATATGATGTATTTGCAAACTTGTAAATCATATAATAGAGCTTAGTAATTATTATTATTTTGAAGTGAAATAAATAACTGCTGAATATTTTCATGTCATACACTTGTCAGAGACAGGATTTCATGTAAGCGATTTAAGAGGAGACGAATAAGTATCAAAGCTGTTATTTCTAATTTTGGGGAAGAAGATTTGCCTGAATGGATACGAGTATTTATCTCTTTTTGGATTTCATTATCGTTAAATCAGACTTTCATTCATTAAGAAATGCACCCTTATAACTAACATGAACATTATTCTATTCGTTTACAATAAGAAATGACAATTTCAAATGATCTCAGTTATTTCATAATGCTTCAAGTTTGACTACTGACTGATATATCTGCTGCTCATCGTGATTGATTGGCTACATGACGAAGTTGCCTGGAGTTCTAGTGAGAAGCTCCAAGTGGGAAAAAAGCGTTTCAACAAAGGCGTCTCCATTTCATCCTATCCTCTGCAGTCATCTTCAGCTGCCTCTACGATTGCACATAGGCTTTTGTCACATCGCCACATGATCTCCTTTATGTCACCCTCAGAGTCACAAACAACTCGTCGTCTCACATTCAGGCTCCACTGGAAAGTCGATGTGGCGAACGATGTCACTTCAAGGTCTCTTCATCCCGTGCTCAGTCCATCTCTTCATTTTCTTCGGCATGGTTTTTGAACAACAGGGTAATTGCTGGGTTCGTTCCCAGAGTTTCTTGTTGTTAATCATCATCATTTCTAAACGGTTGTCTGATCTTCACTATGTAGTGAAGCCATCTGCTGACGAAATTCTAAAGCCTATTGGAAATACGCTGAGTCTCTGAAACAATTTAGAAACACTGACTGCTTTGACACTAGTGTTGAAGATCCGAATCTTATTCCTTATGTTAAGTTCGGTAGATTTCCAAACCGATTTCCGGATAATGAATGTCTGTCTAGCTTTCTCTGTCCAGTCCCGGCTAGCTTCGACATCTTCATCCGCGCTGCCTATAGCTGAAACGATACTTCCTTCAAACTTCTCCTGTTGATAGTGGTTGGTCCTTCTCATTGTCGTTGATCCATTATCTTCATTACCTCTGTCTTCTCAGTGTTTACTTAAAGTCTTTTGTTCGCTGCTTCTACTGTCGACTTGTTGGTTTTCGCTTTTAGATATTTGAATTTGTGTGACGTTATATATAAATTGTTCGTGAAGTCAAAATCTTCCGAACTGGTCAGTCCAACGTATCCCTGCCTTCTCACTCTTCAATTCCATACCTTAATATTTACAATTTATGGTGCTTAGGAACATGTTGTATAAAGTGATTGAACGCAGACTTTGTAACAAATCTAAATTATTCAAGTATTGGTTTGTAGGGATTTGGTTGATTGGTTACAGGATTTCATCATGAGCTGACATTGGATAGACAAACATTGGAAAACCTGGGAGTACTGGACAGCTATTTCGTCCTAGTTTGTGACTCTTCATCAGTACGCACCCACCAGGGTTCGAACCCAGGACCTTCTGGTTACAAGGCGAGCAAACTCATATACCATTAAGCCACTGGGACCCGATCCAATGGCCAGTCCATGAATTCTAACTTCTGCCAATTCACGAAATAGCGCAACCGCTAGCCAATGTCTTCGGTGAGTATTTGTCCTCACACCCGACCTGCTGCACCCTACTGGTCACGACTTCCCACTGGAACCCGAGGTAACTACATACCTGAATAGGGCCAGTCACCAGTGAGCATCTCATTGATATTCAAGTATTGGTTTGTACGGTTCGTGACCAGTAAGGTGCAGCAGGTCGGGTGTGAGGACAAATACTCGCCGAAGACATTGGCTAGCGGTTGCGCTATTTCGTGAATTGGCAGAAGTTAGAATTCATGGACTGGCCATTGGATCGGGTCCCAGTGGCTTAATGGTATATGAGTTTGCTCGCCTTGTAACCAGGAGGTCCTGGGTTCGAACCCTGGTGGGTGCGTACTGATGAAGAGTCACAAACTAGGACGAAATAGCTGTCCAGTACTCCCAGGTTTTCCAATGGTCGTCTATCCAATGTCAGCTCATGATGAAATCCTGTAACCAAATCTAAATTAGTCATTACTGAAGTGTTTCCTCATTCTATTTTAAGACTCTTCCCACTGCTCTTCTTGAAACTGGTCAAATCTCGTCAAATTCCCATTTAACTACATTGTACTTTTGTTTTCTGTGTGTATAATACCGACCTGAAAGCATTGAAGCCATAGGGATAATTTATTCACAATTATATATTTATGTGTATTTGTTATACACTTATTGCTATAGACTGCTTACCTTTTGATTTCACCATCTTCCACAGCAGATGCATAACGTATGATCTCCAGAAATATTCGTTGACCACGTTGTCGAGCATGTTCATCTAAAGGATCTTCAGCTCCTTCAGGATCAATTTTTTGTGAGAAAATATCTTTCAGAAAAAGGCAAAAATAAAGGGAGACTTTTATGAGAAAGTTTGACAATAATGAATACTAATCAGCTGTTGTACGTAAACATAAGTGGATCCTACCTTGTAACTATCACTACAGCTAAAATTAGGAATGGTGCAAATGAGCTAGTTAAGCTATAAATATACCATTTGACTTGTAAGACATGGCTATTAATATTCATACCTTCCTTTCCTAGTGGAACACAGGACTTCAGGAGTTTATCTCCATTTCACTTGATACTCTTCCATCATTTTCAACTGGCTCCACGACTACCTACAAAATTTCGTTTCCTCCTCACATTATCTCTACTATGTTACACTCAAACGCCTACTCCGTTGCTTAACATTCAATAATAATAATAATAATAATCTACTTTATCCCAAAAACAGTACTTATAATACAGAATGGAATTCTCAGCATTTGTCACAATACTGCATCTGATTTACTCAAAATATAATTAAAATTAAAAATTAAAACAAAATTAACCGGAGGAATTTGTCCACATTTACGATATAAAGTCAAAAATATTCGAAGCACGAATTGAGATTACTAAATATAATAATAATAATAACAGTGAGTTTGTTTCAAACGGTATTGTCGATTCAGTTTGGAAACTTTAGCATGTTATAGATTATTGGATCTAATGTTCTGTTGATATAGTATAGTGAGGGGAAATACAAAATTAACAGTTATAATACAGCTTAAATTATGTCCACACTTATGAAAAAAAATAAACAAAACAAAAAATTGAGAGGATTATAAATATAAGAAATACAAAAATAATAAAGTTTGATGCTTTAAGGGTGGAGGAAATGGTTTATTTAGTGGTGCTAAGAAGGTTAGTTAGTTCATGCCTGACACTATTTTCATCACATAAAGTACGTGCCAAATATGGTATAGCGGAATTTTTATACTTAGACGTACGTGCATAAATTCTTCTGAAAAGACTTCTTGTTTTACCTGATGAAATACAAGGTTGGAGCTGTGGGTAGAGTGGGTGCTCAGAGTCTGACAAAATTCCTTTAGCGAATTTGTTGCATGACATCAAGTGCCTATCAGTGACAATGTCAACGATATGGCCCAATGGGATACCACTCGTCCTACTGACAGTCTTCAGAGTTCTACGAAGTATGACATAGTCTTTTTTAAGCAATCCAGGAAAGAATAAGGGTGAACAGTAAAGAAGAATAGGTTAAAATACACGAGTTGACAAACTGTAAGAAGAGTGGTTGAGTTATGCCTGAGTGCCTTAACTTCTTAATGTAAAAAGTCAGACGAAATATTCTTTTAGAAATCGCTAAGACATGGGAGGACCAGGATATGTCAGAAGAGAGAATTAATCCAAGATACTTAACTTCAGACTTGGTTTCTATATCAGTATCATCAATTTTGCAAGGGTCATAGGAACCAACGGCTTCACTTAACTTTCGTTTACATCGGAAACTGAAATTAACAGTCTGACATTTGGAAGGATTAAGTTTAAGGCCGTTAGACGAAGACCATTTGCTAATTCCTGATAGAAAGCTGTTTATCTTAGTACAGTCAAGCTGGGAGTTAACAGACATTGAAATAGTTCCACTAAAGAGCCTAATGTATGAAGTCACTTGAATGTCTCCTCAATGTATATCCAGTTCACCTCTACTTCCTTCCTAATATTTGTTAGATAATAGGTCCTTCCTTGGTTCACTCACTGCCTGTCAGAGTGCATCGTTCCTTATCCTTGATCTCTGACCAGCTAATCTTCAGTAACCGCTGGAAGCAAGTAGTGATAAAAGTCTGCAGCAGCCTGTCAAAAAAAGTTTTTTTGATGACGTTTCAGGTTTCATAACTGTATAGAGACACTGACTAATTTGACATCATCGTTGAACAACGGGATCGTGCTCCTTATTCAGGGTGTTGTAGATTTTCACACTGATTTCACAGTGTGAGGAAAGTCTGTTTTGCTTAACCGACCCAACCTTGGTTGGCTTTGATACCCTCACCCATGGCACCAGTAGCTGAGACGACAATGCCAGAAAGTGAAGGGACACTCTTTCAGATTTATTCCGTTGATGGCGTGCAGACCTTAATGTTGTCAGTCAGTTGGATGTCTTCATCACCTCTGTGTTTATTGCCTATTCTGACAACTTCCTGGTTTTTGCTTTTAAACCTTTTGATTTTTGAGACACCAGATATAATTCAACCACGAAATCCAAATATTCTAGGGTCTTTCAGTCAGTTCAGTGTATGCTTATGTTCTGACTCCTCACGGTCTGCCCCACGATCCAGTCCACTACTCTGAGGAAGATCAGCGGCTATGGTAGGTGGTTTTATCTTTCTACTGTCTTAACTTGGATGCTTCAGTGAGCTTTCCGTGGTGGAATCATTATGTAGTTGTTGAAATGACTTTTAAAAATGTTTACAACCCTCTGTGGTGTTGGTTGTGCTTATTGAATTGTGTCCTGCCAAGTAAAATACTAAGTCGCATCATCCTGGAGAGAATAAAAGATGCATTGAATTCAGAATGCCGCCCCCCCCCCTAACCAGAACAAGCTGAATTCAGGAAAGGCAATTCATGTACTCATCGTCATCGAACAAAGCATGAATGGCAGTCAAATATCACTCTACCTCAACTTCATCGACTTCGAAAAGGCCTCCGACAGACAGCGTTAACGGAGAAGTAATTTAGAACCTACTTCAACACTATGGCGTGCAGTCCCCAAATCTTTATCAACCTCATTCAAAAGCTATCCATATAGCGATGTCACCTGTCACGTGATCCACAAAGGGGAACTCAGTGAGGCGTTCGAAGTGGAGACAGGAGTAAGACACGGCTGTCTATTATGACCGGTGATATTTCCAATTGTGGTGGACTGGATTATGCGTCAGACTGTGGGAAGCGAGGAGACAGGAATAAGCTGGACCATCGATGAGAAGACTCCAGAAGATCTGGATGTCTAATGTCACACAAACTCGACGACTTGCAGGAGAAAACCAACAAACTGCCTGAAGTGGCTGGCAGCGAAGACAGGACTCCAAGTGAACATAGAGAAGACGGGGGTGATGAAGATAACCAACCAAGTAAAAGCATACACCTGCAATGTATTGAAAGTGCAATGAACAAATATATGAAGATAAGGAAATTATTTAATAGACAGCAGAAAGTATGCACAGTATTCGGAAGATCTTTGGAAATGATAAATACACCTACGTCATTGTAAATGACTATCAACCATTTCATCAAGAGTCTTCAATTATTTATTGTTATCCTGTTGACATTTGCAACTGGATAAATCACAGTCACATCCAATGTGCCTTCCACAATCAATCAGTGAATTCACGGATTTGTGCCGGTTGTTTTGGTCTGAACTTTTCTGACACTCTTCTAGCTTCAACTTACTTTAAGTAACAGAGGTGGTGCAGAAAAATGATGGCTCGACAGGCTCAGTATGTGTTCTATCTACATCAACGAATTACGATCTACAGCCTCGCTGACGAAACTGTTTATTTAACCTACTGCACTCCATTTAATGTGTAAACATCTTTGGTTAGAAATTCTATTTTGTCATCAGCCATGTCTTACACCGTGAAGCAGCATAGAGCAAACTATTGTATAGTACATGCACCCAAAGACATTCAGCTTTATGTGCATAATTGTTAGATACAGTCTTGTTCCCTATTGAGTCACAATGAAGGAAATGTATGGAAGACTTTCAGTAAGGTAGAGCTTTTAGCAAAATACTGAACAAAATCTTAGAATGAATGCAGAACTCAAGATATATTTTGCATATCATACTATCATGGAAAACTTATTTGCAATGAGGTTGTGAAGCTATACCGAGTGAGATGGCTAGTACACGTGTTGCGCATGCAGGCAGGGCCACCACCTTCCTCGACAAGCATTGTTAGCTAACACATAGGATTACTTTCAAGTATTGGTTTGGTAGGGATTTTGTTTAATTGCATGGAGGATTTCATCATGAGCTGACATAAGTTAGAGAACCACTGAAAAACCTGGGAGTACTGGACAGTTGTTTCGTCCTAGTTTGGGACTCTTCATCAGTACGCGCCCACCGGGATTCGAGCCCAGGACATTCTGGTTACAAGGCTAGCTCGTAGACCATTAAGCCATTGGGACACGATCCAATGGTCCTTGAATTCTAACTTCTGGCAATTCACGACATAGCGTGACCATTTCGCAATGTCTTCTTAGATGAGTTACTGCTTCATCTTCAACCTGCTGTACCCTACTGGTGGGCGCGTACTGCTGAAGAGTCCCAAACTAGGACGAAACAACTGTCCAGTACTCCCAGGTTTTCCAGTGGTTCGCTAACTGATGTCAGCTCATGATGAAATCCTCCATGCAACATAGGATTACGTTGGAAAGAAATCAGAGGTGGTCACATAATAAATCCTTTAACAGTTGGTTTGAACCAACAACTTAAGGAGGTGTAAATTGTCTGGTTCGAGTTTTCAGGATTCTAAGAACCAATAGCTGAAGACTATTTGGTGATATGTCTGAAAAACAGTTGTCACTGCTGCATATGCATTCATCGTTTGTAATCCTACATATCCACTAAATCCTCATGTTTGTCTACGTTACTATTTTCTTTCTTTCTGAGCACATCTCTGCATGTTATACTTCTTTTCAATCTCTTTTCTCAAACTTTATGTGTTACACTTCTGTACAAAGTCCTATGTTGAAACTCAGTGTGTCATTCGTGATCTTTGTCAGGCAGTGTTGAAAATAAGGCTGTACAATCGACTCTGTATAAATCTGTTATTCATCACTTATCTATATTGATATCAATAAATAACTTGAAGAACAAGATCCTGCTGTTGACCAACTCTGTGTGTGTTTATCAATTCACCTGCTCGTGTAGAGCTAGGTATATTGGTCGTTTGACTCCAGTTTCGTCCAACAGAATGCAAGAACACTATTCGTGCATGGTAATTACGAAGAGGTGGAAATGGAGCAATAAGAAGCGCGATCATTGAACATCTGGTCGATAATGATCACTCTATCTCTACAGCCTCCGTCTTTAAAGTCATCTACAAGACGAAAAGTAATTTGCCCAAATCACTACGTACCCGACTCATCTGTATTGCTGAAGCTTTGGCCATCGAAACAGAAAAGCCAGATCTCTGTATACAGAAAACGTTCGTTCAACCCCTCCAACTTTCATGGTCTTAATCCCTCTCTGCTAAAGTATGGTAATCCCTGATCATATTTTGGCTCTACCAATTTTTCATTTTTAGTTTTGTTTATTCAATTTGTATACTCTTCCTTTATTACGTCAATTGTTACTGTTACTACTCTCATTTTGAACTGTACCCGGTATTATTTCACTCGTTCCACTTGTCATTCTAAATCAATTCTGTTTTGTGACATTAAATTCTATGCTATCAAATTTCACACAATATTACGTAACGTTTTTGTTTTATTCTATTTGCCTACTAATCCTATAATTGCACACCCCTTCCGAGTTCTATGCAACCTATGAATTATTTCTCCCCATGACATTTAACTATGATTATATGATTATAATCAAAAATATTTTAATTGGATTTCATACTACTATTGGGGTTAGAGCTGCCTGCTAGCCAAAATTGGTAGACAGCAATTTACGTCAATGTTTACGTCCCAAATCTTGGTCATGAGAAAATAACAAAAACAAAGCTAACTATGTAATTTGTTTTGTAATTCTATTTTCAGTAATGTTCTGATGCGTTTCGAGCACAATTTAAAGACTAACTCAACAACTAATCACAGCAGACTTTGCGTGGGCGGATACGATTCGCAGATATCTCACCGGACTCTCTAAGAACGGCCACAAAGAGATGACAGAATAACTTTCAGCAGGAAAACAACCAATCAGAAGACCTTGCTTCTCTGATGATATAATAATAACGAATAATAGTGTACATCAAAATCTATAAATATCTGTTGATTTTCTCAATAAACGATCTGTTGCGTGGCCCTTGTCTTCTGTCGTTACACTATTATTCCATGTATTCACACCTGTGATTCCATTTCCTCACCGGATATAATTTCTTAAATAAACAATATATATACACACACGGTTGTACAGCTTGATAATAAATTCGTTGTTGAAAAGAGTCTCCTCTCTGAATCACCTATTTTCTATATGTTCCAATGGGAATTTTCAATGAATCAATACATAAGACTGTGGAAGTCTGGTTAATCAATCACTGAGAGTTTAATCAGCAGCACTTCATGCTTTTTTATTCAACCTTTGTTAAGTAGTATATCATATGAATTATATGATTATGCGTCAGACAGTGGGAAACGAGAAGACAGGGATATCCTGGACCGACGTGAAGAACCTAGAAGACCTAGATGATTTATGTTTGATGTCACACAAAATCGAAGACTTACAAGCGAAAACCGACAAACTGGTCGAAGAAGCAGCAAAGACAGGACTCCAGGTGAACATAGACAAGACGGAGGTTATGAAAATAACCAACCACCAACAACAACAACAGCAGCAACATCCAGCGCCAATCACCATCAACGGGAGGGATTTGAAAGAGGTTACTTCATTCACTTATCTAGGGAGCATTGTCTCAACCACAGGAGGAACGGACGAGGATGTCAAATCGAGAATCGGGAAGGCGAGAAACACATTCATCAACCTGAAACCAATCTGGAAATCTTCGTCACTCAACATCAACAACCAAATTCGGATTTTCAATACAAACGTCAAGTCAGTCAATTCTTCTATACTGATCAGAAACTTGGCGGGTCACAAAGAATATTTCCAACAGCCTGTTGCAGACCTTTATCAACAACTGTCTTCGTTCTATACTGAAAATCAGATGGCCGGAAAGAATCACCAACAAGAAACTATGGGAACAAACAAAATAAGAACCAATCGCTCAACAAATATGCAGGAGAAAGTGGAGATGGATTGGACACTCGCTGAGGAGGCCGTTGGGTGACATCGCGCGTCAGGCCAGTGCTCGAGTGGAACCCGAAAGGGAAGTGGCGAGTGGGACGTCCAAGGGTGACATGGAGGAGATCGTGTGAAGAGGAAATGAAACAGTATGGATTAACATGTATGCAGGTGAAAAGTACAGCAGAAGACAGAAGCAATGGAGACGTGTAGTTGAAGCCCTATGTTCCACTAGGAACCCAAGGGAACAATAATAATAATATGAATTATATATATATTATTGTTTCCTTTAATTCCTAGAGGAACATAGGGCTTCAGCCGCGCGTCTCCATTGCGTTCGGTTCTCTGCTAGAGTCTTCACCTGGCTCCAAGTCTGCCCACACGTTTTCATCTCCTCTTCACATGACCTCCTCCAAGTCACCCTTGCACTGACGACCAACTCGCCGCTTCCATTTCGGGTTCCACTCGAGCAATGGCTTGTCTAGTGATGTCACTTGATGGTTTCCTCAGAGTATGGCCAATCCATCTCCATTTCTTCCTGCCTATATATATATATATATATATATATATATTTAAAACACATACTGTTGTTATTAATAGATTCATAAAAACGAGAAATTACATACCAGCGAATCTAGACATAAATTTTGTTATACATCTTGTATCTTCTTTTCTTGGTAACCCACCAATCCATTCCGACGGTAAATGCATAATTTTTTGTATATCATTCTCTTTCAATCAGAAAGAAAACATAATAGATGGAGAAAATAATATTTAATATAGTCAGTTAAAAGGATAAAACAAAAAATATTTGAACATGACCATTTCACTTTATATCTATATATATCTGCTTTCCTTCAGGGCATAAATTTCTTCCATGTATGCTCAGAAAACCAGATAGAAGCTTTGCTTTGCTTTCTTTCTTTCTTTCCAATGTGGCATCCAACAACATGATAACCACATTATTATAGACTTGACTGTTACAAATTCAGTCTGCATCAGCCGAAGGAATAGAATCACTGGTTACTAAGCAGGGATTGCTAAAAGTATCCATTACAATCCCCTACAAGAGATCTATGGCGAGCCTGAAGAGCTCAGTGGTAACGTCTCTAATAGCAGCACTAGATGAGGTGGGTTAGAATCTCAGAAGCTCTTTGAGCTAAGATCATGTGTAGTATCTGTTCTTTGCAGTGTAATTTCTGCAACGGTCTCTAAACTGAGACCAATGAAATTACCTGTATTTTTTCCTTACAGACGGATACTGTGAGCTTGCTCAACCCCATCCACGGGTCGGCCTTGTATTGAATTGCCTCAAGGATTGATCCATTAAGTCCGTCGGTGGCACAGCGGTTAGGACGCTCGCCTACCATGCACATGGTTCGGGGTTCAATCCCCGGCCACTGACACACTTCTTTACCTCGCTAAGCCAGAAATAAAAGGCTGGTTAAGAGGAAAGGTTGGACATGAGGCTAGCAACCCCATCGCGTAAAAATAAACACTGGGAACGTGAAGGAATAAAATAATAATAAATAATCTGTTCCATAGCATTAACCATTTAATTTGTAAATATTTCATTATTGAAATAAAAATGATGGTTAGTCAGAAAAAAATTTTCACTAAATTGCAAAATTAAACGAAAAAACACCTTCAAATGCATTCATGTTGTCAGCTATTTAAACATTTTGAATAAAATTATGAATTAGATTCCAATGAAAGGTGATATTTGTGATTAAAAGGCAACTAACCTGTAAAACACTCAGCAGATGGTAGAATAGAATGTGTTGATAAAATATAGTGGATTGCAGCGTATTTAGCTGAAATGTAGTGGGAAAAATAGAAAATATTAGATAGGAAAGCATTAATGATTGATGAATTGAGTGTATTTTTGGTCATATTTGATGGCAGTTTTAGAAATAACACTATCCTTGACTCATATATATATATATATATATATATATATATAATAGTGTAACAACAGAAGACAAGGGCCAGGCAACAAATCGTTTATTAAAGAAAATCAACACATATTTATAGATTTTAATGTACATTATTGTAGATTATTGTTAGTAGAAAATAAAGTCTTTTGATTGGTTGTTTCTCACAGAAAGTTAACCTTGCATTTCTTTGTGGCTATGTCAGATCATCTATATGCTAACTGTATCCGCCTACACAAAGCCTATGATCTCATTTTCTCACCACCAGTATTGGGACATAAACATTGACGTCAATTACTGTCTACCAACTTTGGCTAGCAGCCAGCTCTCACCACAATATTTGTTGTAGTTACAACAATGGCCATTTATGCGGCGGATACATTTTTTAACGTAGAATAACAGATTAGTTATTGGGTGTCAAAATAAATAGTCGTGCTTGTGTGACAAACGTGCTAGGCTGAAATCGATTACAAAATATTGTAAAAAACGGGAGACGATGGTGGTGATTAGTCATAATAGATTTGTAGAGTGAGGGGTAGGAAAATTGACAAGTCAGTTCAAGGTTATAAAAGGTGTCAGGTGAGTAGCTATTATAAAGTGGTGTGTATTAAAGAGGAGACAGTAAGACTTCAGTGTGAGGTTCATCATTAAATAACCAATGCGTGAAATGGAACAGGGGTAGGCATAATATTGAGAAAAGAGATAATATCACAAATAATAAGTCCGGATAGTATAAATGGAAAATTCGATAGTATTGAGAGATTGTCTGCATGAAGAGCATAAATTATAACGAATACTAATAATAATTGTAATAATAAGCAAAGGGAAAAAAACCAAGAGGGTTAAGGGGAAGAAGCACTCTTGGTGAGAAAAAGTTGGGTGCCAATCTCCAGGAAAAGGAACCTAATTCATTCACTCTGCTTTAGGATACGGAACATTTGTAGTTCTGATTGCGTTGACTCAGAACTTGACTTCTTAAAAGCCACGTTCGCAGAAAAACGGTTACCCTAACCGATTTATTGACAGCCACATGAAAGATAAGCAGTCTAAATTGGTCACTGACTCAGTTTCAAAGAAAACCTTATTCATGAACTTGGAATTCAAAGGTGATCAAGCTTCAGATATGCTTAAAAATCGTCCCTCTTAAGCAGTCAGTAAGACGTTTCTTGCAGCAACGTTACAATGACGTTTACCTACCTCTATAAAAGATAAGCTCCCTCGTCTGGCTGCCTCCATGTGCATCTATCAGTTCACCTGCTCTTGTGAAGTAAGGTACATTAGCCGTAGTCAGAGGACGCTTTCCACACGGATACCAGAACATATCCCAGCATGGTTTTGCAAGGGATAAAGGAAGTGTGTGCGAAGCTTTATTCTGGAACACCTGATCGACTTCTGTCACTCTGTCAACCCTGACCATGATTTTAAGATCATCTACCGAATCCATGCTAACTTCCCGCGTTTTCTTCGTTACAGACTTCTAAAGACAACGGATGCTTTGGCCATTCATAAATTTAAGCCAGGCCTACTTCTGCCTTGGCCGTAGGGGGATAGACATTTATTTATTGTTTATTTTGCTTATTTGGTTATTCTATGTACTTTTCCCTTATTACAACGATTATTACTATTCTCACTCTGAATTGTTTCCGCTTGTCCCACTTGTCATTCTAAATTCAAAATTATTATTATTTTTTTACAATAGTGAATTCTATCGTATCAAATTTCACACCATATTGTGTAACATTTTATTATTCGCCTACTAATCCTATAATTATGCACCCCTTTCCAACATCTTATGCATTATTCTATATATGACTGAGCTTTGGGCTCTAGCTTTCTAAATATGGTTCTTTTGGCTGAACCATCCTCTCTTCTCGTTAGTAGGATGTCAAGGAAGTGTAGAGAGTCATTGTATTCTCCTTCGTAGGTGAAATGGACCGCTGGGTGAGCATTATTAAAGTCGCTCAAAATCAAATCACTACTTAACCCTTCATCGTACACTACAAACGTGTCCTCCGTGTAACGCTTGTCACACAAGTACGACTATTTATTTTGACACCCCATAACTAATTTGTTATTCTACGTTAAAAAAATGTATCCGCCGCATAACTGGCCATTATTGTAACGACAACAAATATTGCATTTTATAATTGTAAGAACCTGAAGAGAAATTATTATTGAAAAAAATATTCTTAGTTCAGATTGACACTTAGTTTTCTTCATTGATTAATGTTTTTTATAACATTAGTGAGGCTATAATCCAGTTTATATGTTTGATATAACGTAAATCTCTTTTTGTAAACCTGTTGAATTGCATTTTGCTGTTTGTCTCTTAGACAGTCGTCCTGTACTGGTCATATTTCGAATTCTGTTCATTTTTTTTACTCAGTTGTCTAAGTTTGTTTTGTTTAATTTAAGCATATATCTAACCTACGAATATTCATGTGAGGTGCACCTTAAGTGTTTTGTAAACAATTTTAAACTCCTTTAAAGTTATAATAATCGTAAGAAATAGAAAGAAATTTTCTGAATTGTCTAGCTAAGTAGCCTACAAACGTCTGTTTGTCGACTAACTGGACAAAGGTTGCATGGAACAGCAGTATTTTCATGCCAGTCTTTCATAAATATTCATTCATTTGAAGAAATAAACAGCTAATTTCACCGAAATACATAAGAGGGTAGATGGATAAACCATGAATCTGCAATTAATAGTGTTCTCTGAGCTGGTTGGTTTGATGGCGGAGCCTTCGTTGTCCTTCTGGACAACATCTTTAGCGCAATATTTAGCATAAAGTGAAATGACTTCATCAACCTGAAACCAGTTTTGAAATCTTCCGCGCTCAGCATAAGGAACAAGATTCGGATTTACAACATGAATGTGAAGTCGGTTCTGCTATACGGGTCAGAAAATTGGCCGGCGTGTGACGAAAAGGATTTCCAACAGGTTGCAGGTCAACATCAACAGCTGCCTTCGTTCCATACCGAAGATCAAATGGCCAGAAAGAATAAGCAACAAGGAACTATGGTACAAACCAGCCGAGCAAGAGCCGATCGCTCAACAAATATGTAGGAGAAAATGGAGATGGATGGATCGGGCGTACATTGAGGAGGCCACCGAATGACATGGCACGCCACCCCCCCCGCTCAAGTGGAATCCAAATGGGAAGCAAAAGTGGGTCTTACTAGGGTGACATGGGGGAGATTGTGTGAGGAAGAGATGAAAGAGTTTGGTCAATCGTGGATCCAGCTGAAGAGGACGGCAGAAAACAGAACAAAGTGGAGATGTGTTATTGAAGCCCTATGTTTCAATCGGAACGCAAGGGAATAATAATCTACAAGAAAAATGAAGTCAAGAATAAGAGTGCGATAACATAGAAAATTTACTAACAAGTGATGCACGTTGGCGACCTGGTTAAATCTTGGGCTACCAAAAACTTCTATCCCTCTTTCTTACAAAGATTTTATCCCGTTTGGTTTGTTTTAATCGGTATTATCTACACTCTTGTGTGTATATAAAATGTTTACAAGTCTCTGATTCGCAAGTTCCTACCAAACTTGAGGAATGGACTGATTGTGGTTGGTGACGTATCCCGACACATGAGATAACTGTTCTTCAGTTATTTCCTTGGGTCTCAAAATGTCTTTGGGAACATCTTACAAATAGCTTTCAACCAGATATCGTGGATTTCTTGAAAGAGAAAAAAGCAGATATTATCATAATGGAATGGTTTGTACTTCAGCGCACAGAGACCATTGTGTCACAGGATGTACTGTCAGTTAATATTTTACTTGAAGATATTGTACGAAGGGAAAATATCATGCAGTAAACTCCTCTGAAAATTCTGTACATTTTATAAATACTGTGCAGAATGAAGAAGTTATTATTAAAAAAATTTAAATGAAATGAAAACCATCCATGTTAATTAGTGGTTGTATTGAATCAAACTAAATTATTTTTAGCAGGTAGTCACTGCCGTGCTCGCATAAGAACAATTTCACTTGTAGTGTACAGAAGTTTATTCGAGGCAGTGAACTACGGTCTCTACACAAATTCATCTTTTGATACATTTAGATAGGATGGTGTTTCCAAAGTTTCACTGACTCAACTACTCGTTATCCTATTTACTAAACAGTAATGATTAAAATATAATAATAATGATAATAGTAATTTTGATAGAATTGAACTTACCAACAGCATATTCTCTAACATTATCAACAGGTCTAGTTGGTAACCACATAATAGATAGCAGATTGGTAAACATTTCAAAACTGGCAATTAGTCTTTTGAATTTATTATCTCTGACTAGCTGACAGAATGATTTATCAGTTGTAGAAAATTTTAAATCCATCAAATGTTTACGCGGATGTGATAAACGAATAAGCTCTACAAAAGTAAAATAATTAGACACTTTTGTTTTAAATGCACATTTTTAAAAATTCACACGATAGACAGAAATTTTATCACCAGTCAAAAAAAGCAACTAGATAACAGCATTTATAACACCGTTAATATTTCAGATAGGTAATAAACTTAGTCCCAGGTTTGACAAAAAACTTACATCAGTTAGAAAACTATTGAAAATCGGGGAGTATTAGACAGTTGATCCATCTCATTTGGTGACTCTTCATCAGCGCGTAGTCATGACCACCAGTGTATTACTGAATATTCCCAAGATAAGATGAAATAAGTGTCCATAACTCTGTGGTGGTGTTCAGTGGTCCTCTAACTTAAGTCAGTTAGTGATCAGACTTGGAATCAATCAAATCCATGCCAATTTTAACACTTAAAAATAGACTGAGTTTCTAAAAATTCTTCTTGTGTATGATTTTATCATCGGACCGGGGATTCTGAAGATTTCTATAAGACATAGGCGTCAAGATTTGATTAGTTTATGAATCTAATGTCAAATTAATTCTAAATTATGATTTTCAAAGTGTTTAAAACAAAAAAAGTGAATGATGCTTTTAAGTTAGTCACTTCATTTAAGTCATGCCGTTTCTTAACCAACCACTTAAACGAAGACCAACTGCCTAAATCCTCTCCTCCATGAGTATTAAGCAGTTTGACTGCTGCCGTGGAGACATATGTATTGGGCAAGTTCTTCCTTGAATTTCTCGTTATAACGGAAAAGAAGGATATAAAATTGAAGCATCAGGTGCAGCGGCAGTGGAAAATGCTGTCATACAGTTCACGCGTAGACAATTAATCTGGTCAACTTCTGATATTTTTGTAGGAGAGTGTAAACATGCTTATGGACCCACCTCGAAATGCAGACTCTCTCTACACAACCCATGGAGAATAGCGCATCATGGTGCAAAAAGTCAAGTGCACTTCCATTTCTGTCCTATTTGAGTTCGCCAGCCACAGGACTCTCCACTAGCAGCTGTGGCTACTGGACGTCCGTGGAAAGCTTTATGCGGAAGTTGGATAATCATGCGGTAACAAAAGGAGTGTGTCCAAATTGAGTATCTCCTTGAAGTTCACATGCTGCACTCTATTAATGAGGATCATCTATACTCATCCTTTACCTCTGCTCAGTCAACCTTAACTCACCCTTCTGACGACTTCATCCTTCACTTGCATTTTAATTTTCATTATCTATTTGTTTGTTCGTTTTTGTTTCTCAGTGTTTATAATCTCCACTGTTTTTATTGTAATCATCACCCTTCCCAACCACACAGGACGACTGATTCCATTCACAGCAGCATCGTTGACTTGACACATCGCACAATAAAAACTACACTTAATCAATCTCTGCACCACTCCCCTTGGAGTCAACCAGAAATGCGGCAGTCTAGTGGCTGGACAGACTACGCAGAAATTCAATGAAAATAGGAAGACTTTTCCTTTCAGTCAAGAAAAGAAGTAGAAAGAATTAGTTTGGTATACACTAGTTAATAGAAAGGATATTAATATCCTTTGAATAATGGAAAGGACAGAAATAATTACCTTGATGATTTCCATTCGCCTTTTTCTGGCACGCCCGACAGGTTCTGAAAGATGAGAAATAAAAATCTTTTACTTTTCATGGTAGAACTCTCCTATCGCTTCCATTAAGTGGGCGGTAACATAAAGACGATTTCCTTCTGTCTTCCACCATTGACTTGTTTTTTCACATATAGGTAGTAGTTTCGATGAAGGTTTTCGCTTACATCTTCGCAGTGGTCGCTCAAAAGAATCAAAATTTCCAAGCTGGCGGACCTTTAAAAACAGTGAATGATACAATCGGGATAGACCAACTGAATACTGTTTTATTTAATCGAGATTTGTCCTTATCAGCGCACTTGTAGTAGTCAACATAATGCAGCACAAACTTCGCTAGATTTAATAGATGTTGGGCCTCTGGGTTACACTTTATAGTATCCATAACCTTAACAGATAAATCAAAAGTTTATCAATACACGATAACACACGGCGAAATTTAAATGTGTTCAATCCAATATACAATTTATCGCATTCAATATTCAATATATCTAGATTCTGTAAATCAAAATGACTCCCCCGTTCTCACTTCTTAATAGTTAGAAAGATATTTCTGATATTCAATGGATTTCTCCTTGGTCAGTTCAGCCACTTTCCTTCTCGTGGACCATTTGGGAGGTTTCAGATAAGTTTGTAGTTTTGAAATAATAGAGAAGATTTGTAGCTCGCAACTAAACCAACCAGCTCAGAGAACACAATTAATTGCAAGTTTGTAGTTTGTTAGGAGCGCCATCATTGCTATCATAGACAATCCTTCCAAAGGTAAGGCGATCAGCGAAGTCACAACGAATGAGATAATAGCAACCGTTGCAACAAAAAGTGATCATGAGGACAAAATGCCGAAAAAATCGAATGAGGGAACAAAAACAGATAAATGCAAAGGTGAAGGAGTTAGTATGAGACTCAGACATGAAAAACTTTGAGTGGAGCATCTGGTACTTTCATTTTAGCAGGAAATATCTGTGTAAAATGAATTAAATGAAGATTATATCTTGAATTGCCAGGTTGACAGTCCATTTTATACAGCACTGGTGTAGCTGCATTAGTTTTCGGCCAATTTTAGTGTGAAGAGCTTGTTTCAGCGACATTGACAGTTCGTCATTTTGCAAGCGATTATCAGACCAACCTTTTGGCCAGTAAGCGACTTCTTCAAAAGAGCGACTGATCTCCAAGTGTGGTTGTAGCTAGGTTTTGTGTAGATTTGATGTGAAAACCTTAAGGGTTTTGCGCGTGAAATAATGCACATTAGACGGCTTACATCCATTCCGCACCACAGTCCGTGATCGAATCTTTGTTCTCCATAACAACCTGTGTAAGACCCTGATGCCACGCGAAACTGAGATAACATGTTATCGTTTGGGTGCACAGTGGCACTACTCTATCACTAACACTTGAACAGCTTTTCAAGGTTATTAATTTGGCGATATACATTTCTTACAACCCTTGCAGTTTTCACACCGCCAGAGTTGAAGGTTGACGACTAATTCAGACGGTACGAAAAACAGATGAAGAGAAACAGAAACAGAATTGATCCTGAAGTGAACCTTATGAAATCCAGGAGGTTAACCTGCGCATAGACTAGCGGGGTAGGACAACTTTCAGGCGGAATTTCTCTCTATTCAGTAAGCTTGCTGTCCAACATAAGCGCGTTCTGAACGTCTATCCGGTTTACCTAGTGGAGGGTAATGATGTTCGAATGTGTGTAATATCCTAGAGAAACCGAAAAGCATCATATTAAGAAGAAAAACTAAAACAATTTGACTATGTAGGGTTTCTGCAAAAGTATGCTATGGCCATTTGGATGTTGTAAGGGACTGGAAAATGCAGAAGGATGGGACATGTAGATGAGTAACAGGTTTCCTCTTTGACTTGTAAAGGTTCCTCTGTCTATCAAATGTTGAATGCCCTTTCGTGTGTTTGACAAGTTTTCCGGCTTCACTGCCCTTATTCCATGTTCTCAGAAGCAGTTTCAAAAACTCAATTAGTCTTCTACAATAGTAAGAGATATGGGTAAATAATGTGAATAGTTATTTAGATAGAAAAGTAGGTTTCTGAAACGTTGGGTTACTTTATGGTTTCCCCATACTCCTGCTATCTTACATGAATCCCTTGAATGCTGGAACGTCAGCATATGAGATAACAGCGGAGATTTATACAGTACTCCAAGGCGGATTATCAAATATCCCTTTGACCTGGGTCTTTCCAGAGTTGGACACCTCCATTTCACTTGGACCCATCGTGGGACTTACTCGGGTCGTGTCTACTGTTCTCATCCAATAGGTCCTTATGTCAACTTTTTCGTCTGAAAGCTTGGATATTCACCATACTGTTCATTTGCCTGCTAAGAGTAGTAACAAATGTCTCACCCATTTGCAGATAGGTAAGGTACTACTAGGGCCTTTCCCAGAGGGTTTTATCTCGGTGATTATTGCATATAGGGGCCCCCCTGGAGATGCTCAGCAGGGTTTGCATGAAGTGGTCTCCCTCCCTCTTGACTTTAGTACAGCGTCTATCCTTCAAGATTATGCATGCTCCGTGATAGACTGGATTTCCTAGAAGTCTGCATTTTCCCATACCTTTCGCTTCGATTGTTTAACACGCTAGGTGCCTCACATAGATCTGGAGTGCTATTACTATTCTCTCAGTCATTAGGGGCAGTGTCTTAAGACTGTCTGTGGATAATTTCACCTCGTTGCCCTCATTGTTTGTGGAGTGGCGGAGATGTTTCATCAAAGATTAACAAAACATCAGACTGGCTTCGTCTTCAGGTGGTGAGTTTCACTATATTGTAGACATCAATCAAATGTATTGCACTTTTGGCCCTTCAGAACTATTTGAAAGACGATGCAGCGGCCTTAGGACATTTCACATAAATGGTGACAAATGGCCATTAATAGGAATGCATTCCATTCCTTACAGCTGTTCACTAAGACTGTGCCATCAGGAAATTTGGTCTTCTATGCTTAACTCGCGTCGGTGGCACAGTGGTTAGGACTCTCGCCGACCATGCACATGGTCCGGGGTTCGATCCCCTGCCGACGCACACCTGATATCAATGGTCGGCCTGCAAAATTTGGGCTACCGATATCACATGCTGAAAATTCCATACTTGTACCAAAAATACTGTGTGGAATCAAGCTGTATTAAAAAAAAATTAAAAAAAATATTGTGTCACACATAGCAGTATACGACCAGCTTCCTCCAGTTTCTATTTTTGAACCTGGCATCGGGGCAGTTACTCAGCTGATTTAAAATCCTCCTACAATGTTATCAGCCTGGTTTCTACAGCCAGAAGATTATCTGGATTTATATTTCATAACTTTCGCACCCAAGAATCCAAAATACCAGTGGACAAAGATCCACACACATACACCCAATGAGTACAGTTCAGTTGTCCTATGTAGCAGTTTCATCAGAGAAAAGCTAAAGATAGAAAGTGCTCAGAGAAGATTTAGAAGTGGAAGAAGTCCTAAATCTCCCTACAACTATGGTTGCACAACTTGGCATTACTCGCCGACCATGAACATGGTCCAGGGTTCGGTCCACTACCAGCGAACAACTGATATCGACGGTCGGCCTGCGAAATTCGGGCTACCGGTATCACATGCTGAAAATTCCATATTTGTACCGAAATACTGTGTGGAATCAAGCTATAATCAAAATGACAAAAACTCGTGAGATCGAACCCTTTGGTTCACGTGTCAACGAATTATTCTCATTCTCCCAATTAAAGTTCTTAAATATACTTTCGCAATTGTACCCCTAACTTTGCTTCATCTCAGAATCAATTATCAGTGGTGGGTATTCTGTAAACCCTTTTCTCTGTCGCACCATCTTTTTCCAACATCTTTACGGTTAAGTATAGGCGAATGCGGAATTTCTTGCCAACCGAAGTGAAAAACAGCACCACAATCAGAGGATTCATTTGTCTGCTGAATAAATACTTCCTCAAAAACTGTCTTGATATGGTTCGCCACCAGCTGAAAATGAGTGATATCGTCTTTTAACCCTTCAATTTACTTACCTACATAGCTGTGCTCACCGTACACACTAACAGAAACAGCCGGCCTCATCATATATATTTAGCGTAATTTATGTTGCGCTAATACTGTTCTAAACTTCTTATTTTACTTTGTTCGTCTCTTTGCTTAGCAAGCCTCAACTCAGAAATTTCCATAATCCTGTCATACGAACCTAGATGGGGATACACATTCTAACTTCCTCACCATGGCAGTTGCCCTACGTCTTTGTAACCACATCACCTTTATCACCTGCGAAGCATTGCCCACTTTATCTCCTGTTATAACCTCCGAGCCACCCAACTGAAATTAACCCCAGTTATTTGCTGTCAAATCAGTCCTCTTCCTTTACACTTAATCCAACGTCAGGCGACAGAAAATGGTGATCTCTAAATTGACCCTCTGTTACAGTGCCATTCTCCAATACCGGTAATTCTGTTACACTGTTCCGTGAGTCTAATCACCCGAAAGTAGTTCAAACATAAAAATGCGTTTGCATATATACAGGTAAATTTAAATGAAACATACCAGCCATTTATTGCAGTTTTACAACCCACTGTTTACATACGCATACATTATAACCCACCTGTGTGGTTTCATGTGTGATTGAAAAGATTTAAAAAAGCAAATTGTTCAGTGTTTGCCTTCGAATGACTTAATATCCCCTTATCAATACGGTTTCTTAAATAAAAGGTCGTGCATTACTTGCTAGTTAGATTATTTCGACCACATTACTGAATATGTAGACGAAGGTTGTTTGGTTCATTACAAGGGCCTAAAATGGGATCCTACGTGAACCTGTATGTGCTACAGCAAGCACTATCACAGTACAAAGCGAAAAATTCCGTCTGACGCACAGAGTGGGCTGATCTATAAGTGGAGGAAAGTTAAGAAATAATAAAAGGGATTATAGACGTAGCGATTTCAAAAACCGTCCCTCTAGTCACACTGTAGACTAGGTAACCACTCTCAAGGTTAATGGGAGGCATGCAGCGTATTCTGAAAGCGAAATGGAAAGTCTGGTTCACGTAGTAACACTTCATGAGCCAGAGCGACTATGATACATGCTTGAGACCTAGGAACCGATGTGAATCAAGGTCCCGGAGTAACCGATCATTTCAGCGAAATCTGGTAAAAATCCACTGGCGAACCCTATAAGTCTACAACGACTCATGTCAGAAAT